CCTCTGATCCTGCTTGGCCTGCTGTGTTCATCCAGCTCTACACCTTGTTATCTCAGATTCTCCAGCATCTGCAGTTCCTACTATCTCTATTTACATAGAACACAATTTTACGATTTTTGAAGCACCTGGTAAAATACAATAATCCATCAATCCCAACAGCATTCCTCTACAGTACTCAAACATTAGTTTGTTTCTGTATTTGTAGGGTTAGGGTTAGTAGGCCTTGACTTGATTATCTGTTTTTCAATTTTTGGTCATGAGAGTTTATTGCCTCTTCCTTGAGTATTAATACAGCTAAACCTAGGGGCCCATCTGTGGCACAGCGCTACAGTCCCTACGATTAGGCCTGGGTTCAAGTCTCACCTGCTCTACAGGTACGTAACAACATCTCTTATAAAGGTTGATTAGAAAAATAGATTAATTAAAAAAAAACAAGTGAGTCTAGACTTTCTTGGCTTCAAAGAATCCCTTCAGGATTCTAACCAAGCACTTACAGTCTGGAACTCTCGACCTAAACTCCTCACACTGCACTAACCTATTTCTTAACAAGTCTAAACCATTTCCTTTCTTCAGGGGAAAGTATTTTGCACATCTAACTTCCTCTAGGACCACTGCGAACTGAAACCCAAAGCCTTTCCAAGCTGTAGGTGTTTCCCCCTATGCAAAAGTCCTTGTAACTGAAACAAACAAATGCTCTCTTCGATGTTTACTTTGGTTAAAAAACTGTCCAATACAAACAAATTCCCATTCGTCCTTGAGGAAATCTCTCTCTGGTATTTTTGTTAGAGACTGTGGTGCAGAAATACTTACCATTTAATCATTAGTAAGCTCCCTCTCTCTCAAAGACCAAAAGCCACGTGGCACTAGTTCTAAAACAAAATTCTAAAATACATCATAATAAAACATATAAATATCACACATTGCATCATAATACATGTTAGTTTACAATAATAAACATTGGACCCCAATATTTAAAATTTGGACTCTGTTGATGTGCATGGTGGTTAAGGTGCTGGTAACATTGTGGCTCTCCACCCCTCCACCCCCCCCCATTTGATGCAGTCTTAATTGCATTTTACAGTGACTATTACAAACACTGGTTAGAATAATGTAGTTGACACTAAGAACTCTGAATTGTGGGTGGATCAAATGTGTGCTCTTTTAATTGTATGGCTCTGTTAGCATTCTGATGGATTAAAGCACTGGTGTGTATGAGATTTGCTCCTTTCTGTGTCTAGGTGGCTCAGACATGGACAATGCTGAGGATCGTCTACTCCAACCCAGGTGCTATTTCATCAGTCAACTTGAATCAAAGTATAGGCAAGAGCGGGGGCTTGCCCCTTATGAACAGGTAAGTAACGAAGGGGCAATTTTAATTTAAAAATGTGTTTCTGATGCAGAATACTAGGGTAAGGCTACATTTATGGCTTATAATTAAGTTGGCTTAAATTATTTTTGTCTTGGCTTTGTCTTTTTTGTTTTATGCTCATTTGGCATACATGCAAGCTATGTCAGATGAATTATGTTGGATTACATACTAGTAGAGTTTCTTATTGGAATGTATTCCAGATTCTCTGTTCAAGGCTCCCTCCTTTTCAAATTCTCGCTGATTTGGTGAATTTTTGAGCTATCATTTCTTTCCATTTAATGTAATCGATTCATGTTTTATTTTTCTTCCCAGTCTTAAGGAGCTATCTGTAGCACTTAACAATGAGACGAGGTTGGAGCGAAGCAAGGCTGAAAATCGACAAGAGATTAATCACTTAGATTCCTCAAACCCTTTGATTACTGCAAATGAAGGTACAGTAATATTTTTGTACATGTTGCTGGGACTCTAGCTCAACCAATTAATTCACATCTATCCAATTAATCTTTTATAAACCACAATGGATTTATCAGTGATAAAATTTCTGACACTTTATTGGTGTGGATTTTAAAAAGTAAAATGATGCAATGTCAGTGATTGTGCTAGATAATCCGGGGATAAACTGTCCTTGGCCACCAACTCCAACCATGACACACGTTATTCCACCTGAGGTAATTTATCTCCCTTTGTTCACTCACTCTTATTTTCCCCACCAATAAATCTTTCTAGAGATAGTAGGAACTGCAGATGCTGGAGAATCTGAGATAACAAGGTATGGAGCTGGATGAACACAGCAGGCCAAGCAGCATCAGAGGAGCAGGAAGGCTGAAGCTTCGGGCCTAGACCCTTCTTCAGAAAAAAATCTGAAGAAGGGTCTAG